GGACTACCCAAGAGCTGCCATCTCAGCATCTCTCCTCTCCTTACACTTCCAGATGTAGCTGCAGTCACACTCTGCTATTAAAAGTATTTCTCCTACTTATGTACAGCCAAACACCTCATGGGATTTGGTTCCCAGGTTTGGAGGTTTAGGGTCATAGTTCCCTGGGACATCCCAGTTAACTGGCCTAATAACATGTTTAGTGCTTCTGTTTTATCTTCTAGTTCACTGCGTAGTATCTGGGGTTTTAAAAGTATGCAAGCGGCCATCCAAGCACAACAATTGGTCTCTATCCACCTGGAGCAAAAGAAAGAGCGCTAGGAATAGGAGGATATGGAATATGTAGTTAAGTGCCTCTATGAACAACTGCCTCCTTTGCCATGAGACCAAAAGAACTGGATGGTGTCTAGCTACCATTACTGAACATTTTAATCGAAGATTACATAGAAGAATCCTGATCAAAAGGGGGAAAATGGAAAACAGGATTTTAAATTCTCATGGGGAATCCAGACTTTCTGGAGCCATGGAGGGTGGATACACCCCTGAAACTACTGCCCTGAGATTATCTTTAAACCTTAAACCAAAAACATCCACTGAAGTCTTCTTAAAACCAAACAGTAGTTTACCTTAACTAGTAAAAAAAGGTCTGCCTTGAGCATTATGCTCTTTAAGAACTATCTGTGGGATCAAACTGACAAAAGCAACTTGAAAGATTAGATAGGAACCTTAGAGGTCAGTGAGTTTATGTTAATGAAGGAGGAACAACTCAGAAGGATCAGAAAGTCTGCACAACTTGAAGAATATAATTGATGTCACTAAAATGTACATGTAGAAACTGTTGAATTAGTGTATGTTTTGCTGTGTATATTCTCAACAACAACAACAAAATTAGGGGAAAAAAAGTCATGTATCTACTTGGGTTTTGCTTTCTTTTACTCATTCATTCACTTAAAAGTTATCTTTAAGCATCTATGTGCCTGACATTATTCTGATCTATTATACTAAATAAGAAAACGATGAGGTCCTTGCTGTCTTACTTTCAAGTGGGGTGACAGATAATAAACATAAAATCAGGTAGCAGAAGTGCTTTAAAGAAAAATGGAGAAGGGTAAGATAACACAGGGTGTAGTGGGAGAGGGCATCATCTTAAGAGTGAAGATTTCTTTGAGAAGGTCATGTCTAAATAGAGAGCTCTCTGGGATCCTTCAGAAGTTCATAATATGTATCCATTTGAGAAAAAAGATAAATTCTGACCATTAATGACCATTATGCTAATTATTAGTCTTTCACTATCAGAATGCCTTTTCGATAAATGAAAATCTCATTGAAAGCTTGAGATTTTAAAATTATGAAATTCAACTCTTCCCAGGCCAGTAATATTCTGAATCAAATTCTTCATAAGTTTAAAAAGTTCAAAGCAGATATTTTCACTATTTCTGTAGTTATGAATAAGACATGCATAGAATTATTAATGGATATAAGGATACACAGCAAACCTTGTTTAACGTTTTCATTTTTAGACTATACGACAACCATGTATTTTCAATGTTATAAAAAGGGAGAAAATTACACAAAAATACAACTTACCAATAAAATGTATGACTGTGATTTTAGTTTTTAAATTTTTCTAAGACTGCACATAAAGAAACTCACAAATCAGAATAAAACACTTGGCACAACTGGTCTCTGTTCACTGGAGCAACAAAGGAAGCAGAGTCAGGAATAGGAGGAAGAAATAGAATGTGTGGCTAATTGCCTCCATGAACAACTGCCTCCTTCACCATAAGACCAGAAGAACTGTATGGTGCCCAGCCACCATTACTGAACACTTTGATCAAAGATTCTATAGCAGAATACCGATCAAAAAGGGAAGAATGCAGAGCGGAATTTCAAATTCTGATGGAATCCAGACTTTCTGGAGCCATGGATGCTGGATGAACTCCCAAAACTACTGTCCTGACATAAATCTTAAACCTTAAACCATAAATATCCCCTAAAATCTTCTTAACTAGTGTCTTAGTTATCTACTTAGTTATCTACTGCTGCTATAACAGAAATATCACAAGTGGATGGCTTTAAAAAACAGAAATTTAATCTCTCACAGTTTAGGAGGCTAGAAGTCCAAATTCAGGGCACCAGCTCTAGGGGAAGGTTTTCTCTCTCTGTCAGCTCTGGGGGAAAGTTCTTGTCTCCTTTCAACATCTGTGGGCCAAGCGTTCTTTGGAGATCTCCATGTGTCTTGGCATTAATCTTCCCCTGGGTCTAGGAACTTCTCAGCGCAGGGACCCCAGGTCTAAAGGACACACTCCACTCCCAGCTCCTCTTTCCTGGTGGTAGGACGTCCCTCTCCTCTCTGCTCGCTTCTCTCTTTTATCTCAAAAAGAGACTGACTCAAGATACAACCTAATCTTATGGACTGTGTCCTGCCTCGTTAACATAAATGCCTCTAATCCTGCCTCATTAACATCTTAGAGGTTAGGATTTACACCACATAGGAAAATTACGTCGGATCACAAAATGGAGGATAACCACATAACACTGGGAATCATGCATGGCCTAGCCAAGTTGACATACATTTCTGGAGGGCCACAATTCAATCCATAACAACTAGTAAAGAATGGCTGTCTTCAGCATGTGCGCTTTTAAGATCTATATACAAAAGGTCATTAAAAAGACAGGAAAGAAAGAAAAGACCAAAATGGATGTCAGAAGAGACTCTGAAATTTGCTCTTGAACATTGAGTAGCTAAAGTGAATGGAAGAAACGATCACGTAAAAGAGATGAATGGAAGATTTTAAAGGGCAAGTTAAGAAGACAAAGTAAAATATTATAATGAAATGTACAAAGACATGAAGTTAGAAAATCAAAACAGAAGAACACGCTCAGCATTTCTCAAGCTGAAAGAACTGAAGAAAAAACTCAAGCCTCAAGATGCAATACTGAAGGATTCTATGGGCAAAATATTGAACGATGCAGGAAGCATCAAAAGAAGATGGAAGGAATACAGAGTCACCATACTAAAAAGAATCGGTTGATGTTCAGGAAATAGCAGATGATCAAGAACCCATGGTACTGAAGGAAGAAGTTCAAGCTGCACTGAAGGCACCGTTGAAAAACAAGGCTCCAGGAATTGACAGAATACCAACACAGATGTTTCAACAAAAGGATGCAAAGCTGGAAACACTCACTTGTCTATGCCAAGAAATTTGGAACACAGCTACCTGGCCAGCCAACTGAGAGATCCATATTTATGCCCATTCCAAAGAAAGGTGATCCAAGAGAATGCATAAATTATCAAACGATATCATTAATATCACATGCAAGTAAAATTTTGCTGAAGATCATTCAAAAGTGGTTGCAGTAGTACATGACAAGGAACTGCCAGAAATTCAAGCAGGATTAAGAAAAGAACATGGAACGAGGGATATCATTCCTTACATCACATGGATGTTGGCTGAAAGCAGACATTTACCAGAAAGATGTTAACTTGTGTTTTACTGACTATGCAAAAGCATTCGACTATATGGATCGTGACAAATTACAGATAACATTGCAAAGAATGGGAATTCCAGAACACTTAATTGCGCTCATGTGGAACCTGTACATAGACCAAGAGGCAGTCGTTCAAACAGAACAAGGGGATACTGAGTGGTTTAAAATAAGAAAAATCTGTGTCAGGGTTGTATCCTTTCACCATACTTACTCAATCTGTATGCTGAGCAAATAATACGAGAAGCTGGAATATATGAAGAAGAACACGGCATCAGGACTGGAGAAAAACTCATTAATAACCTGCCATATGCAGATAACACAACCTTGCTTGCTGAAAGTGAAGAGGACTTGAAGCACAGCCTTCAGTAGGTATTACACCTCAACATAAAACAAAAATCCTCACAAGTGGACCAGTAAGCAACATCATGATAAACGGAGAAGAGACTGAAGTTGTCAAGGATTTCATTTTACTTGGATCCACAATCAACGCCCATGGGATAAGCAGTTAGGAAATCAAACGACATATGGCATTGGGCAAATCTGCTGCAAAAGACCTCTTTAAAGTGTTGAAAAGCAAAGATGTCATTTTGAGAACTAAGGTACGCCTGACCCAATCCATGGTATTTTCAATCGCCTCATATGCATACGAAAGCTGGACAATGACTAAGGAAGACTGAAGAAGAATTTGATGCCTTTGAATATGGTGATGGTGAAGAATACTGAATACACCATGGACTGCCAGAAAGATGAACAAATCTGTCTTGGAACAAGTACAGCCAGAATGCTCCTTAGAAGCCAGGATGGTGAGACTTTGTCTCACGTACTTTGGATAGGCTATCAGGAGGGACCGGTCCCTGGAGAAAGACATCATGGTGGGTAAAGTAGAGAGTCAGTGAAAAAGAGGAAGACCCTCAACGAGATGGACTGACACAGTGGCTACAACAATGGGCTCAAACAGCAATCATTGTGAGGATGGCACAAGACTGGGCAGTGTTTTGTTCTGTTGTACACAAGGTTGCTATGAGTTGGAACCAACTCTACGGCACCTAACAACAACAATGTGGGATCAAACTGACAATAGCAACTCGAAAGATAAGGTAAGAAGCTTATGGGGCAGTGAGTTTATGTTAATGGAAGATACTATGTATGCATTCCCATTTGTTGATTAACAACCCTGAGAAATTAAGTTAGGGTCTTCTTTTGCTAAAATAATAATTCTATACAGTCCCCTTGAACTTCAAAAACAAATATTTTTTATAACAAATGATTATAAATCCTCTCCCAAAAGTAATTTTAAAATCTTGAACAGCTTAAAATAGCTTACATCAGAAAGAGATAAATGAGAAGAAATGGTATTTTCACATAACCATTTGAAGTATTAGCAATTTCCATCTTAAGGACTCTAACCCATTCTTCTAAAACTCCCCATTCAAATCTCACCTCTACAAGGTCTACCCTAGCCTCTACAGTTACTATTATCTCCTCTTAATCTGTTATTTGTGTCCTCTTACCTTCAGTAACTCCTTGCAGCTGTCAAGCCCGATATCCAAAAGAATGCCTTTTACCTTTTTTCGCACCTTCCTGATGTTGTCAAGATTTTCCACAGGAATTTGAAACATTTTTGAAATTTTCCTTAAAATGGAAGGAAACAAAACTGCATTAAGTATATACAAAAATATGTATCATTAACACTAAAAACAGAGTATAATGTTGTAACAAATGGCGCTGGGATAAGTGGATATCCATATGCAAAAGAATAAGTTGGACTGCTTCCTTACACCATACACAAACATTACCTCTAAATGGATCACGCATCTAACTGTAAGAGATGAAACTACAAAACTCTTAGCAGAAAATATAGGAGAAAATCTTTATGACCTTGGGTTAGGCAAAGTCTTCTTAAATATGACACCAAAAGCATAACAGACAAAAGAAAAAATAGATAAATTCAACTTCATAAAAATTAAAAACTTTTGTAAACACAGAACTACCTTATGACCCAGTAATTCCACTCCTAGGTATACACCAAAGCAATGTGAAAGCAGGGACCCAAACTGATATGTCATGTACACCAATGTTCACTGTAGTAATATCACCATAGCCAAAAGGTAGAAACAACTCAAGTGTCCATAAACAGATGAAGAGAGAAAATGTGGTACATACATTCAATGGAGCATTACCCACTGCCATCGAGTCAGTTCCAACTCATAGCAACTGCATAGGGTTTCCAAGACTGTAAATCTCTACGGAAGCAGATTGTCACATCTTTCTCCTGCAGAGCCACTGGTGGTTTCAAACTGCTGACCTTGGTTAGCAGTCGATCGCTTTAATCACTGTGCCACCAGGGCTCCTTAATGATTATTCAACCATAAAGAGAAATGAAATTCTGATACATGCTATGACATGGATGAACCTTGAAAACATTATGCTGAGTAAAATAAGTCAGACACAAAAGGACAAATATTGCATGATTTCATTTATATGAAATATCCAGACTAGGCAAATCTATAGAGACAGAAAGATTAATTGTTGCATAGGACTGGGGAGGTTGGAAGGAAATTGGGAGTGAATGCTAACAGGTACTGGGTTTTCTGTGGTGATAAAAGTGTTCTGAAACTGACTGTGGTGACAAATGCTCAACTCTGTGAATATACTAAAATTCAATCAATTGTACACTTTAGAAGGGTGTATTATATGGTATATGAGTTATAACTCAATAAAACTGATTTTTAAAAAACAGAATAGAGTATAAGTGTGATCTAGCTAACACATGTGAGTGCTAAGGCTGTTTCAGTTAATCTGACTGACTAGGTAGGCACCACTCTCAATTCCCATCACAAGATGTTTAAGGTATGAACAGACCAATGGCAGTACAGACAGCAAAGACAGATTTGGATATTTAATAGGCAGAACTGGTATATTCTGAATAAAGAAAAGGAAGATTCAAAGTTAACTCTAGTTTCTGGGGTGAATAATTAGGTATGTTATTACAATAGCAAGTAAGAAGGGAACAAAGAAGGCAGAACAGATTCAGGAGTAGGTGGGGCAATAAATTCAGTATAGAACATAGTGAATTTGAGGTATTTATGGGCAACCAGTAGGAGATACTCAGAAAACCACTGGATATAAGTCACACCATCTTCTCTTCTCCAAGACACCCTTCTTGCCCATTCCACACGTTCTCTTCATAACTGTCTAGGTCCTCTTATCTGTGTTGCCAATAGCACCTATCGCAGTTATCATATTCTACTGTATTTGCCTCCCAAAGGCCTACAAACTGCTTAAGAACAGGGGCCATGACTTACTCAACCTCATATTCCCGATCTCTAGCACCTAGCATGTGTACAGTCAGTGTGAATACTGAATTACAATAAAAGAGACAGCACAATGTATTAAAGGGTATTCGAATTTTCAAGGAACAAGTTCTGAGTAATAACAGAATAAAAACTATGATCATGAAAATAGTGCTGAATAAACAGAATAGGAACATAAGTAACAATGCACAAACACCAGAAGAGAAACTAGATAAATGGGAGCTCCTAAAAATCAAACACTTATGCTCATCAAAAGACTTCACCGAAAGAGTCAAAAGACAACCTACATACTGGAAAAAATTTTTGGTTACGACAAATCGGATCACTGTTTAATCTCTAAAATCTACAAGATACTGCAAAACCTCAACAACAAAAAGACAAGCAACCCAATCAAAAAATAGGCAAAGGATATGAAGAGGCACTTCACCAAAGAAGACATTCAGGCTGCTAACAGACAGATGAGGAAATGCTCACGATCATTAGCCACTAGAGAAATGCAAATCAAAATTACAATGAGATACCATCTCACCCCAACAAGGCTAGCATTAATGCAAAAAACACAAAATAATAAATGTTGGAGAGGTTGTGGAGAGACTGGAATACTTACACACTATTGGTGGAATGTAAAATGGTACAACCACTTTGGAAATCAATTTGGCACTTCCTTAAAAAGCTAGAAATAAAAGTACCATATGATCCAGCAATCCGACTCCTTGGAATATATCCTAGAGAAATAAGAGCCGTCACACGAATAGATATATGCACACCCACGTTCACTGCAGCATTGTTCACAATAGCAAAAAGATGGAAACAACCCAGGTGCCCATCAACGGATGAATGTATAAACATTTATGATATATTCATGGAATACTATGCAATGATAAAGAACAACAATGAATCTGTGAAACATCTTATAACATGGAGGAATCTGGAAGGTATTATGCTGAGTGAACTTAGTTGCAAAAGGACAAATACTGTATAAGACCACTATTATAAGAACCCAAGAAAAGGTTTAAATGCAGAAGACAACATTCTTTGATGGTTATGAGTGTAGGGAGGGAGGGACAGGTATTCACTGACTGGAAAGTAGACAAGAATTATCTTAGGTGAAGGGATGGACAGCATACACTACAAGGGGAAGTAAGCACAACTGGACTAAACCAAAGCTAAGAAGTTCCCTGAATACAACCAAACACTTCAAGGGCCAGAGTAGCAGCAGCAGGGGTCTGGGGACCATGTTTTCACGGGACATCTAGGTCAACCGGCATAACAAAGTTTTTTAAGAAAATGTTCTGCATCCTACTTTGGTGAGTGGCGTCTCGGGTCTTAAAAGCTAGCAAGCAGCCATCTAAGATGCATCAGTTGGCCCCAACCACCTCAAATAAAGGCGAATGAAGAACACCAAAGACACAAGGAAAATACTAGCCCAAGAGACAGAAAGGGCCACATAAACCAGAGACTTCAGCAGCCTGAGACCAGAAGAACTAGATGGTGCCCAGCTACCACAATGAACGTCCTGACAGGGAACACAACAGAGGGTCCCTGATGGAGCAGTAGAATGATGGGATGCAGAACTCAAATTCTAGTAAGAAGACCAGACTTCATGGCCTGACTAAGACTGGAGGCGCCCCGGAAAGCAAGGCCCCTGGTCTCTCCATCACCCCAGAACTAAAACAGTTTCCGAGGCCAACTCTTCTGACAAAGATTAAACTGGACCATGGGACATAAAACGATACTCGTGAAGAATGTGCTTCTTAGCTCAAGTAGATACATGAGACTAAATGGGCAGCTCCTGTCCAGAGGTGAGATGAGAAGGCAGAGAGGGTCAGGAGCTGTTTCAATGGACATGAGAAATTCAGGGTGGAAAGGAAGAGTGTGCTGTCACAGTAGAGGGAGAGCAAGTAGGGTCACAAAACAATGTATGTATAAATTATTGTATGACAGACTAACTTGAATTGTAAACCTTCACTTAAAACACAACAATAAAAAAAAAAGAAAATAGTGCTGAGATCACTCTCATAAACTAACAACAAAACCATGAGGCTAGAAAGAAAAACTTATCCTTCATTTGGTCACTGAAGTCACCCAAGATAACGGCAGGGAGTCCACAGGTGGCACAAAAAGTTAAGTGCTCGACTGCTAGCCAAAAGATCGGTGGTTTGAACCCACCCAGAGGTGCCTCAGAAGACAGGCCTGGTGATCTGCTTTTGAAAGGTTGCTGCCTGAAAAGACCTATGGAGCAGTTCTACTCTGCACATGGGGTCACTGTGAGTCAGAATCGACTTGATGGCAACTAACAAGATAAAGGCAGAAGCTGATAAGAAGGAAAAGTGACCACTGAAAGGTCCTGCCCTCAAGTGGGAAGGGTTAGCTGAATCCAGATTACCCCTACCCTCCAGGGCAGTGGTTCTCAAAGTATAGCACCAGACTAGCAGCAGCAGCAGCAGCGCGCCGGCCACTGCGGCATAGGGGAACTTGTGAGAAATGTAAATTATCCGGTTCCATCTCAGACCTAAAGAACCAGAAGTCCTAGGCGTGGGACCCAGCAATCAGTGTTTTCCCAGTGCTCCTGATGCACACTAAAGTCTGAGAACTATTGCTTCAGATGACTGTGTTCTAAAATTCTTTGAAAGTGAGCACCCAAAATTTCCTAACTTTAAGGCATATCGAATCACTCAGAGGGCTTATTAAAACACAGATAGCGTTTCTGACTCAGGAAGGCTTTGTCCTGGGATTGGCCTCAGAATTCACATTTCCAACCAATTCCCTGGTGATGCTGAGTATCTGTTCTAAAAGGATCCATCGTTGCCTCTTCAGGGATAACTCCTCCACGTGTGCCCTCGATCCCCGATATGTGCAGCTCCCCTGGACTCTGCTTCGCCACACTGTGTCCCAAAGATAACTTCACACACTCCTCTCTACAGCTTCTTCCTGCACACTGCCAAGAAGCTCTGATCTCACCTCGCCTTGTTCCTTTGTTCCCTTCCAGCTACCATTCCAACTCTACTGCCTTTCTCATTCTAATCTTCTTCCTTGTAAGACTGCTCTCCAAGGAGAGAGACTGCCACACCCTTAGGATTGAGGCCAGGGCCTGACATGCAGTAAAACTCACTGCCATCAAGTCAATTCCGACTCACAGCGACACTGTAGTAAGTGCTCAGTAAATACCAGCTGAATAAACAATGAATGAAGGTCACACCTGAGCTGAGTCTGCATACCTCTCTGCTTTATCTCCCTCCACTCACTAAGAAACAGCAGTGCCCAGGCAATTATCTAGTCTGGTGGAGATCAGTCCATTGAGGGAAAAATGTATTAAAC